TAAGATATATTATATGTTATATCGCCTTCAGCTTCTCTCAATTCACCTTCATTATTCTGAAGTGTTGAACTCACCCAGCAACAGGCTCATATTTTTATACACCTCTAGTTTGGTTGTTTATTTTTTTGTAATATTGCAAATTACTGATATATTGCTATATGTTGGCTATAGAATGCCAGAGCTTTTAAGGTCTGCCAAATGGGCTATAGAGAAAGGGACTGCATATGCCCAAAATGTGACATGGGTGGAACAGTGATTCAACTGCATAGTACCAGCTTTGGTGGAAGATTTGCATTAAGGTTGACTTGAACTGGTGTGATTAGTTCAGCATCTGTTTGGACATCTTATGTTAGACTTAATTCAAGTAAAAAATTAATTAAACTAAAAAATTTAGAAATATTTTGTACATTATGCAGGCAACTAAGGAACTTCAAAATATGCATGTTGATAGCTTGATTGTAGGAATGACTTCCCGTGAAAAAGAAGAAGAGAGAAATCATTCATGAATGTTGGCATTGATTATTATTATTAGAAGCCTCTTACTATTGATGTAGTTCGTGATCTTGTTGAGAAAATTAATGGAAATAGTTAAACCTATCAAAAGTATTTGGAATGAATATCATTCATGTATTGATTAATTTATAGAGGGATTAAGGAAGTAAGTCTCTCACTAAAACAGGTATAGAATACTTATAATTACTAATAAATTCGTTTTTGTTGGTAAAATAAAAGGCCTTTTGTTTTTCAAATAAAGCCTAGGTGTATAGGACAAATGGAGCTTGCTGGTCAAAATAGAGATATACATATTAACCTCCCTTTTTATAAACTAACAATTTTTCTTTGAACGCAGAAAAGACAAGTACGAATATAAGAAGCAATTTCAACATTGTCCAAATAATCGCTATGAAATAACACTTTGTCCTTCCAATAATACTAAGGTAAGCTACTCTATACCCTGAACTATTATTTTAGGCCCGACAACCACCAATAAATGACACTTTGTCCTTCCAATAAAATGAAGATCTAGGATACCTTCCAGTCTCAACTATTATATTGAGCCCAACAATCATAATGGAAGAGACAATTTCTCCTTCCCATAAAATGATGGTCCAACCTATAATAATTTTCTAATTACTTTTTGATTAAATATGTATGTTAAACCCTATTTCTTTCTTTATTCTATGTTTGAAAGTATGGTAAATTTTTATCTAACTAATCATATACTTTAGTGTTCATATTTACGAACTTCTTGTTGTTGCTGTTTTAAGTACCCCCCCTCCCCCCCCCCTCTTCCTCCCTCCTCAATATGTGCCCGAAATCCTAGAGGTACATTTGTACTATACTAAGGTCCTATTAGCCCCATGAACTTATTTTGTAAATCATTTTTTATCTTTTTCGGTCTAGGTGGCACTATCAACCAGATAACTTGAAAAATTTGTCCACACGCACTAGGCCCAGCATATAAGTTCTTTCAAATTTCATGCATATTCATCTTCTTTTTGTTGAGAAATATCTAAATTATGATAGTTACAAGATGAATATACTTCAATATGAAGCTGTAAGTAAATATTTATTTTTCATGTCTCCATTGTTTTGAGTTTTAAAATATAACTCCGTAGTTGATTAATGTATTTTTGTATTCAACCTTTCCTCTATTTTGAGGGTAAACATGTTAAGTCTCATAGAATAATAATAATGTCATTTTCATTGTTTGGTAATCATTTATCCTTTTAAACTAATATATTTGTACTTTTTCCTTTTTATATGTTATCTCAAATGTTCAAAAAAATTCATGTACTTAATTGTTATAGAGAGGTACAAAATAAGTGCAAAAGTAAAAATGATATAAAAAATAATGTATAGTAAAAAATGACTAAATGATACATTGAATAATATTGTTCTAGAGTAAGTCATGTTTTGTCTAGAGTAAGTCTACTTTTAACAAAATGTAATTCAATTAGTATGAAATATTTTTGTCGATATATTTTAATGTGACGTCTTTTATTATGGATGTCATGTGTTTATTGACTTCTTTTTTTTGTTTGAAATTGTAATTTTTTCTATAAATTTGATGGTATACCGCCAAAACATTTTGTAATATTTTTGTTTATACGTATTTTTTTTGTATACAATTTCTTTTTTTATTATTAAAAATTATGTGTTTAGTTATTAAAATATATTAATTCCTCCAATCAAATAAAATATTTATTTTTCATGAAGTATATAATATATCAAACCTCAAACATCTAGCACAATACTTTCATGTTACATTTTGTGCAGAGTTATATTCTTATGTTACACTTACATATGAAAGGACTTAGATTTGAACTTAGCTATATAAATTAAAGTTTTCTAATATCAATTAGGGGACAAACGTGCGATGCACGTTTCGAGAACTAGTATTATTATAAGTGGGAAGAGTTTGACCAAAAATTTGATTTACAATTTGAACCCAATAGTTTTAATCAATATTGATTTATTATAAAATAGCTAATAATTCCAAACCTAATTTAATACTCCAGAAACTAACTCTTTCCTCAGAATCATCGTTCAACGTAAAATAAATGTAGAGTTTGTGCTCAAATCATTCATCGGCCTCATTGTTCAATGTAACAAAAACGTAGAGTTTCTGCTCAAACTCCTCGATCAGTGCAATAGATCTTTTCAAACACTCAAGTTCAGGTGATTGAAAGGTTTTTCAAATACTTCTGGGGTCTACACAAATGTCATCAACAAGTTGTTATTGTCCATTAATGTGTTACTCTTTTCTGTGCCTCAATCAAGTATATCATTGTCAGGTAAGAAAAAGTTTCTACTCAGATTGTTGTTTAATCAATAGGCACGATCAGAAAAGTACTCCGAGACTGTTATTTAATCAATAAGTACGGTCAGTAAAGTAAAGTTTCTATGTTTTACTTCTTAATTCTTCTTGAAAGCATGCATTTTAAGTCCTTAGCAATTTATTTTCTTTGTGGTCCGCATGTCTCGGATCTCTGTCAAATACGAAAGGTGTTAGCAATGTTATGCCTAATGGTTATCTTTGATATGCAGTTTCTGACATCAGTTTATTAGAAACTTTTAAATCAAACTGATCCTTCACCGGTTCAAATAGTCCTTGTTTACATCCCTACTCTTTCGAAATAGGGCGAAACATTGCGGTAACTCGAAAATAATTAATTGTTCAATTTTAACAAAGTTTTAAAAATAAACGAGTTTTAAAAAAGAGTCGCCACCTAATTTTAGGAAAACTAGGAAACCAATTATTTATCTAGAAAACAAAATTGATTCTAGGTAAGGAGTTCAAGTTATTCCGAATGGAAGGGGTTAGGCACCCTTCGGAATCCACAAATGTGGTTCCCGACTGAATTCATTTTTTTTTCAAATTGAGGAAGAATATAAAATTATGTACAAGTATAATAAACATTTAATATGCACAATAAAATAAAATAATAATTATCAGCCTAAGGTTTGCCTAACGTCAATATTTACAATAATGAAATAAAAGGAAAAGCACCTCCGGGTACCTGTAAACACACTTAGAAAAAGTGTTAGTAAAGAATAAATATGATTAAAATTGAATAAACCAAATAATAATTAAAAATAAAAATCCGTCTTATTAACATGGGAGGCCTTGGAAATCGACGGTAATTTCTTCATCGGCCAATTCCAATAACTAAAATTATACATAAACTTTAAATTAGATTTCCGTCTTTTAAAATGGGAAGGCCTCTTAACCCGACGGATAGATTTTTCATTGGCCATTTTAACAACTAAAATATATAAACTTGACTTAAAATTCCATCTTTTTAAAATGGGAAAGCCTCTAAACCCGACGGATAGATTTTTCATCGGCCCTTTTAACAACTAAA